GTATTGTTAAACAGGATGAAGGACTGCGTAGACGCCCAACTTCGTGACCAACAGTCAGGATTCCGTAAGGATAGATCGTGTACAGACCAAATCGCAACTCTACGGATCATTGTGGAACAATCAATTGAATGGAATTCATCACTCTACATCAACTTCATTGACTACGAAAAGGCATTTGATAGCGTGGACAGGACAACACTATGGAAGCTTCTTCGACACTACGGTGTGCCTCAGAAGATAGTCAATTTCATACAGAGTTCATATGATGGATTACACTGCAAAATCGTGCATGGAGGACAGTTGACAAAGTCGTTCAAAGTGAAGACCGGTGTTAGATAAGGTTGCTTACTCTCACCCTTTCTCTTTCTCCTGGTGACCGACTGGATCATGAAGACGTCAACATCTGAAGTGAAGCACGGGATACAATGGACATCTAGGATGCAGTTGGACGATCTAGACTTCGCAGGTGATCTAGCTCTTTTATAGCACACGCAACAACAATTTCGGAAGACAACCAGTGTAGCAGCAGCCTCAGCAGCAGTAGGTCTCAATATACACAAAGAGAAGAGCAAGGTTCTCCGATACAACACAGCATGCACCAATCCAATCACAATTGACGGAGAAGATTTGGAAGATGTAAAAACCTTTACATATCTGGGCAGCATCATTGATGAACAGGTGGATCTGACGCGGAAGTGAAGGCAAGAATCGGCAAAGCAGGAATAGCATACTTACAACTGAAGAACATTTGGAACTCAAAACAACTGTCAACCAACACCAAAGTCAGAATTTTCAATACAAATATCAAGACAGTACTGTATGGGTGGAAACTTGGAGAACTACGAAAACCATCATCCAGAAGATATATGTGTTTATTAACAGCTACCTACGCAATATACTTCGGATCCATTGGCCAGACACTAACCGGAACAATCTATTATGGGAGAGAACAAACCAGATTCCAGAGGAAGAAATCAGGAATAAGCACTGGAAGTGGATAGGACACACATTGAGGAAAGCACCCAACTGTATCACAAGGCAAGCACCCACTCGGAATCGTCAAGGACGAATGAGGGGAGGTAGACCAAAGAACACATCACGCAGAGAAGTGGAGACAAACGTGAGAAGAATGGACAACAATTGGATAGAACTAGAAAAAAAGGTCCAGGACACGTCGACAGAAGTAAATCACCCTCTTGACATCCTATTAGATACCTTTAGTCAACACGCAGTCCGGATACAGGAAGAAGCATATCGACAGGTCGGTCTTCGACCCAGAATGTGGTCACCCCAACAACGGCGAAAAACAATCATAGTGCAAGTGGACCACAGAAACGCACGTTATTAAAAAGGGGGAGGGTGTTTAGGTTGTTAGATCCCCAGAAGTCACTTGGTAAATGCCTTAATTTTATAACTTTTTTGGAAATTTTAATTTCCTTGTTTTCGCGCCAAAAGTACTTTTCTCAATTTCATGTCGTATTTCCCGCTTGGGAGAATCTTTAACGCTATTGGTTCATTGTGCTATTTTTGCTTCGCTTACCAAGGATAGTTTTATGCTGTATACATACGTTTGATTTGTGTCTGTTATTATTCATTCATGCTTCTGGATTACGGAATATAGCTTCCCGTTCCAAGCTTGTGCATCTTCCTTTAGTTAGCGGGGCTGGGATGCATCAAATAGCTAGCTTATTGGTCTATGATCACAAGTTTTTGTTCCGTTCGCATACTAATTGAACTCGTAATAGCTTCCAACCTAGAAGAGTATAAACGAATGTATTGTATTTGGAATGGGAAACCAGGCAGTTATCAAGTGCAAATGAATAATCAGTTCATACAAATACCACTATTTCTTTCTAGGATAGTGATACAATAGTTTTTAATCTCTGTATCTTAAATAGGTATTATATTTCCTCAACTGCATAGTGAACAATTTCTGTATGTTTACCTACACATGACTTTTTATTAATTCCCAACGTAACATAAATAGTCCCAACTCATCTGGTCCAGATGAATTGGCTCCAGAGGTCTTTAGGTATGGTGGTCCAAATTCAGCGGTTAGGTTAACTAATATTTTCGCTAACATCTAGGAGTTGAACGTAATCCAACATAACTGGGCGCAATCAGTGATTGTTCCAATATATAAGAAGAGGTCTAAATCACCATTTGATGACCACAGTTGTATTAGTTTGACTAAAATAGCATGTAAAATACTAGATTCAATAATTATCAAGAGTCTAAATAAGACTGATGAACTACAAATACGGGAAAATCAGACTTGCTACAGACCTGATAGTGGCTGAATCGACCACATATCCACCATTCGTCAGGTCTAGAACACAGAAATGCTTATCGGCATCGAACAATTATAGTTTTTCTTAAATTAAAAGTAGCGTTTGACCCTGTAGACTGCGAGTTTCTGTGGAACTGTCTGTCATTGACAGGTATAACTCAGAAGAGCATAAACTATATACACGCTCTTTACTCGAAAACTGCTAGTCGAGTAAGATCTTATCGCGAACTGTCATCGGATTTTGCATCCTCATGTGGTATCCGCCAAGACTGTCCAATATCTCCACTTTTGTTTAATTCCATCATAAGCGTACTGCTGGAAATAACGTTCTTGTCGGCTGAATTTTCGGGCATTGATCTCCTACTAAGAGGTCCACTTATCGACTTAGAATACGCAGATGATATAGTTCTGTTTGGTGAAGACGCTGATAAAATGCAATCTTTTGGTAACACTGAACAACAATATCAGGATGTTTGTGATGCGTTTCTCTCCCTCTAAATGCAAATTGTTGCTCCACGACTAGTCTGCGTCAACGCCTGAACTAAGAATAGGGAGTGAAGTAATTGAACACGTCGACAACTTCATTTATCTTGGAAGTCTGATCAGCCCTAATGGGTTGATGTCTGACGAAATCTCTGCACGGATTCGAAAAGCTCGTCTGGCTTTTGCCAACTTACGTCACCTATGAGGAAGTCGAGATATCCGTCTATCAATAAATGGACGAATATACTAGGCGGCAGTCCGTTCTGTTTTAATTTACGGTTGCTAAACGTGACCATTAAGAGTAGAAGATACTTGTAAGCTACTAGTGTTTGATCACTGATGCCTTAGAAATATTGCTCGTATCTGCTGGGTAAGTAATAGTGAGGTTAGACACAGAGTATTAGGGAATGATGGTGAATCAGTTGATGAGATTGTGAATCTTTATCGACTGAGATGGTTGAGACATGTATTACGAATGCCTGAACACCGATTACCACGACGCACAATGCCGACTAGTGTTGGGGATGGTTGGAAGAAAGTTAGGGGCGGACAAACCAAAACATGGCATCAGTCCTTGAAGTCACTAACTTCTAGCCTGAGCCATGTTGGTAGATACAGACTACTTGGGGTCCGCACGGCTATTATAATGTTTGGAGACGCTGGGTGATATAAATCGGAATCGATCACAATGGCGTAGGTGCGTACACAATCTGTCTTCCCCTAAACTGTGAGATTAAATTAATTTATACCTTTCCTTCTACGAACTAATTCTTTCTTCTATACTATACCCTCATATGCAATACTTCTTTTACATATCACTATCATTGAAGTAACTACTTCTATGAATTCGGTGTCCATCCTGTTGTGCTAATGAGGTGTGGCAACTTGGACCGACGTATATACGTGCCTGGTCCTACGTTATAGCTGAATGAGTCACTGGTTTCAAATGAATTTATCATCGGATAAAACGTTGATAATGAATATATTTTTTGTTATATCTCAACTAGTAGAAAGATATTATTTACTCTGAAGGGGCTTACATTAGGTCACGAAACGTCAGAAACATCGTTTTTCTACTCACTGGGATACAACAAAAATACATTCCACTTGTTCCTTGTATTAGTGTTTTAAAGTCAACACACTTTAACTTTCTCTACTTTGGCTCTAAGGTATGTTTTCACACCTTAATGCTCACTACTCTCTAATCCATAATTTGTCTTAAGAATGCAGTTAGACTTTCGTCAAATTAATACATGTTAGTTGGTTCTATAGCGAACAGCTACATAACCGGCAATTTACAAATGTTGGTTCTGTTACTCGTCCTTCTTTCATTGCCACAAAGATGTAACATTTATCATTGACCTTCTATATGTCATGTACACATGTTAAGCAGTGTCACATCAGAACTTACGGCTGTGTTCGACACTTTGTTACAAGGATCTTCTTGATAAGTAGTCTCGCTCCACACCTAGACGTTATGTTTGCTTCCTTACGATTACAACGTTACCAACTACACTAGTGTGATAAAGTGCTTTTTTTAATCCATCTTGTATTATATTAATCATGTCTATAAAAGGCGTATCTTACGTCAAGAAATTACCAATACTGCTGAAAAACCCGTTTTAATATTAGGAAGCGAAAAACTGCCAACCATTGTAGTATGACTACAGAGGCATAATGTATCTTCGCACGGTTTTTCGAAATGTTCTATGTATAGAAAAAACGCTGATTCGTGTACATGAGAAGTACCCAAACTATCAATAGGTATGTCGCACCTCTTCTTAACGCTTGAATTCATAGTAAGAAATTATGCTATAGGTACATAAATCACTTGAGTTTGCTCTAGTCATCTCGTAAGTGATACTCATATTTAGTGGTTAACCAGCTAGCTCAGTAGGCAGTAATAAGAGTATTATTGAAGCAGATATTTATTTTGGAGTTTTATCATAATGACAACTTCGGACTGTAATCAGTACACTATGTAGTGGGAGACTGATAGTTATGTTCTACGAGGTAACGACAATAATTTGAAATGTTGATTATTGTAAAAATCATTAGTTTCTTTGTGTAGATATTTTGGTAGAACTAACACTCAGTCAGTGCTATATCTTGAATACAGACGAGATCACGTGACCACAGGTACGTACAAACAAATCAGTACACAACACTAAAGACTGAAACTACACGATCGCCCGTAGTCCTAACGATATAACCACAAGGAAGCTCTAAAGAAAATCAAGTATCACCTTGTTGTGACGAAAAATATACAAATGTGAAAATATAAGGTTTAGAAACAAACCGTACTAAAGATGCATCAAAATCAATCAAAAGGAAAATTGGAACAAAACAGACAAATGATCATGTGTAAGTGACGGCTGAAAACGTTTGCAGAATTATTTGGTCACACTAACACAATGACTAAGCAAATAAAGAATGATAGATACAATAAACACCATGTACGACAATAGTAAATTAACAAAAATGAATATAATTCACAAAAAATATGATATGAGATCATAAATCATCGTCAACCTGACCAACTGCAGGATTCCTCAGGACAACATCTAAGTCATCTCCTTCTTCTCCTTCACCATCTGATCTTGTATCCGGTTGTGGTTCTGGACTGTCATCCACGTTACCTGGATTGCAAACCACTGTACATAATGTTATATCAGGCCCACAATTAGATGGATTGTCTATCAAACTATGCGGTTGGTTTACAAGTGCATCATCAGAATTTGACGAACTACATCCAGGAGCACCTGTTGAGTGAACGGACTCAACGACTGATGTAGTGCACGTAACATCTGGTTTCACAGAAACACCAGTCTGATTAGGATTATCTGATTGGTTTCTGATTGGCAGATCATCTGATTCAGAATACGCGTGAGATGATTCGCTGACACCAAAAACAAAAGAGGTTTCCCCTATGGTGATTACTCTCTTGAAAGCAAACAATAAAAAAAAGCGTGTTTAATGAAAGTACAACGAAATCATTTAGTCTGAAATCTGATTTTCTTGCCATTTCGCACATAAATAGTAGGTACTTTTGAATGCTTACAATTTACACTGATGTTGATTAGTGACCTTATTTGTCAAACATACAGAACAATCATTATCTTCAACTTGACAAACAACGACTAAACCATTAACGTACTTAGCTAGAGAGCAAAGCTGCGGTCGGACAAATATTATCCTTGATAATCTCGCTGTACTCAGTCAGTCAGCTACAACGTAGGACCAGGCACATATATACATCGGTCCAAGTTGCCACACCGCATTAGCACAGCAAAATGAACACCGGATTCATAGGAGTAGTTAAGTCAATCGTGGCAATATATAAAAGACTCGTTGTACTAATGTCGCAACTTGAACCCATCACATATGCGTCATGTTCTGTGTTATTTATGACTGACTGACACAAAAGGTGAGTCACACTAATACTATATTATCTAATCTAACAATAAAACGCTTTTGTAGTAGTAACAATCTGGACGACATAATTTAGTACTAAACGAGTGATATTTCATATCATAAATGGAAAATAGTAAAGGTCTTACCTGGTCATTAACTTCACATAATGAAGATGAGGCCTTCTGATCATTCGCCGAAGTAATTATTCTATCTTCTTGAGCACCATGAGTCTGACAGGATTCAGTATTATATCTAAAGGGCCATATCGGATCAGTTTTAAACGAATGAGGCATTACAGGCCTATACCGCTGACATAGTTGGTCAAATGTTTGCTTGTTACGGCAGATTGATGGGTCATTTACTTGTTGAATGGAAGATGTGTTTCGTATGGAAGGAGGTAGTGCATTTAAAGTTGTCGTACATGAGTCTTCCACGACTGTTGAAGAACATGGCTTAACTTTAGCAATTGGTATGGAGGCTGAAGAATTACATGAATAACTGGATGCTAAAGTGATATCACATGGTTGTTCACAAGGTAATTCAGAAGAATCATTTGAAGATAAAACACATGGATTTGATTGAAGTTCCCTTGGTTTATTTATCAAAGTGTTCATAAACGTGCGCGTTTTGTAACTTGAACGATCAGTACACTTGACCAAATCACCATGCTCTCGACTAACATCACCAAACGCATTAGTATGATCTTGTTCATCAGGTGAATCGCCCACCAAACTAACATAGTTTCTACTAGGAATATTATCTAAATTAACACTCCCAGAAATATTATCAGCTTGCGTCCCAATAACTACGTTATTAGAGGAGTCCTCATTAAAAGTGATGGCCTTTGAAAAAGTACTAGCAGTAGGGTTTTCTATGACAGAAAATGTCGATATATTGGATATTGACCAGAAAACGTTATCTGAACCAAGACGGTTAATTGCATCAACGGATCTAAATAAATCATGTTTACATGATGCAGAAGAGCCATATTCAGGGGCAGAATGATTTATGTCAGATACCAAAGTAGGACTGCTGCAACTGCTTCTCTGAGATGCTGGTAAGTGAGACCCAGTAACAGCTGATGCATCAAAATGAGAAGCATTAAGATTAGAGGCTAACTCATTTATGTCAACGTTTCCGCAGTTGTCTAGTAGTTGGTCGGTTTGCTGCATCATACCGAATGCAGAATTGACAGTAGATTCATTATTTTGGATGATATAAGATTCCTCAGAGGAAGAAGGCATATTATCTGAAGTATGGCTAAGAGTTTCATTATGATTTAATAATGGATTCTCGACCTGCTGGGTTAAGTGAGATATGGGTGTAGTGTTACAGCGTAAACTATTATGCGGGTTGCACAACAAGGATGGAACAAGTGATCTATGATTTCTGGGGTTGTGCATTCCTTGTGCAACATATGGTAAACGCATACTTTTAGGATTCCAAATATTTATATTACCAGGATATAAACTGGATGCAGTCAACGAAAGTAAATGCCTTGGTGGTCTAGAGTTTCTTAATTCTCTCCCATTAACAGAAGCAGTATTCGACAAACTATTCTGTCGTGAAGAATGACTACGAACTTGACGATTAGATCTACGATGAGTGGAAGACAGGTGAGAATTTCCAGGAGACTGAGAATTAACATTACATACATTCATACTTGCAGAAGGACAACCAAATTGCGAACCAGTATGAAAGGGTTCACTGACTGACGAAGACAGAATATTTCGAGTGGATGATGATGGACTACCCTGAAATGATGATGGGTTAGCGTGACCAACAGAAATCTGTGTGTTTATGCGTACATTATTAGTTCGATTTGTGTTAAAATCGTTTAGCTGCCAAGTAGATGACTGATTGATTGCTGAGTGAAAATTAACAGAAGCAGATGAAACAACTGATGGAGATGAATGAATATTACTGGAGTTCATTACGTTTCTTGATGTTAGCATTGGCGTAAGAGTATCTTCACTGATAGAACATGTTGGGAATCGTACAACACACATACCAGTGTCACATCGCTCATGATTCATTCTACTTTCTTCGTGTAGCCACCACGTATTTTCGATTGGATCGTACGACTCCACAGTATCCAGTAGACTATTACCATTATATCTATAAGACCAAAATGGATAAGGATGATAAGAAGCATTTTATTGAAAATATGATATGCTCTTCGCTAAAGAATGCAAAGTCATTATTTTAAAAAATGAATAAGATGGGAAGCATCCACTGAAACGTAAAAAAGCAAAAATGAGTTCAGAAAACAGTCTTCTCTTCGGCTAATCCATTCTCAAAGCTGTATCATCGTAAATATTTTTTTCTAAAATGATGATTAACAATACGTTTGTTAACAACAATAATAACAGTAGTAATTTACTGAGGTAAAATACATAAAAGCACGATGTTATTTTTACTTAAAAAAAAAAGAAAATATATTGGTTAAGGTCTTGAATATTAATCAAAATATCGATTAGTAATTGTGTAAAAGGATCGTTGTAAAATGATAAGAACAAATGTTGGGATTGAAGTAACATGTAATCAGAAATAAGTCAGAGGAGAAGTCAACAGAAGAGAAGAGGGCAATGGGTTTAGAAAACTAGAGGTTGAGACCTTGATAGAATAAGAGGTAGAATAAATTTCTTTTGTATACAGTGTTAGTTACTCTAGATGTATGACGAAGGTTTTAACAGCGCTAAGAATGTGGAAGGTCAGTGTCATTGACAGGATTCTACTTACTTTGTAGACATCTTTAGACGTTGAGTCTGTTCACAAGACGTTTGATTATGAAGCTTCTGATGGATTCATTATGACCACTTTTCAGATATCCCTGATTATCTATTTGAACACTGTTGAATAGAGCCCACATTATTTTTCATAATCACTGTCATCTAAATCATATTCTACGAATTTTAAATAACTGTTACCAAGTATTGAGGTTTACAATTGAAGTAAAAACAGATAGAACATCGCCAGCAAATGCCCTAATTACGGCAGAGTGGGGAGAGTCAGGACTCTCTTTCGAAATGCTCCCACATGGCCACGCATATTCAATCACTACCAGGGAAGTTCTAGTCACTGCCTTCTCGCGGAGAGGTGTTGTTTAAGAAATTGGGAGGACGATGTCCGGCGCTTTAACCGGGTTGCTGGACTCAGAGAGTTCACCTAGGGGAGTTGGAAAACCCTGATTCCAAACCAATGGTGCACATGGGCTCCAGTATCCTGAAGGAACAGAAGGCGTATGAACCTATTGGTGGTCACCGGCTACTATGGGAGTGCATCTCCTAACTTTGTCCCACTGCCTTGTGGATCAGACCTTCAGATAAAAGGCTCTGGGTGTGGTGCCCTAGGAAAACCACCTGTTTCAGTTTGGGCATCCAGACAGTATCCCAGCCCCCAAACAAATCGAATGATTTATGTGGTGCATATGTATTCGGTGCACCTTTGTACCAATATTTATGTGTTCAAATAAATAAATAAATATGTAAATGACATAGAAACCTGACGGAACTCTTTAACTTGCATCACTTTTGAGGTTAATGGTCTCTAGTTGACCTATGCTCATTAGTAACCTGATTGCTTACATAATACCGTGTAGCAGGATAAAAGAATCAATTCAGAAATATTTTCTACATACTACACTTTCTTCTGCTAATATCCCTTTATTTGAGCAATTTGTACGACGGGATTGATACTGCTGAGTACGGATTTATGTACTTAGTTTTAACCCACGCTGTTTACGTTTGAGTGTTTTGGGAGGGGGTAATGACACTATCATGGCGTCCACACCGAGTTAGTAAATTCGAGTTCGAACCCTTCACATGTTGGTTGAAAGGTGACCTGCTGTAACCTCACTAGGCATCCGCTACTATGAAACATCAAAATTTAACATACTAAACAAACAAGTTACTAATTCTTTTCCTTGGAAAACCTAATCAGTTCATTATTTTTAAAAGTCGTGCCAAAATTATAGAAAAAAGTATTATAGTATTGTTTACCAATCATTTGGTGAACATAAATAAAAAGTTTGAAATCAAAAACAGAACCAGCATTTAATACAATGAGCAACAAATGGCTTTCGATTAAGATCACACATTTCATAAGAAATTTACGGATTATATTGACAATGTGCTGAAAATCCTCGTTTTGATATTTGGTAAATAAAGGAACGGATTGAGCGAAGAAATTCCTTTTCAATTAGTTTTTCATCATATATATTCTCGGAAGACTACATAAGCAATCAATCGCTATAGTAAAATTAAAGTGAAGTAGACCTGAATTCATATTCACACAGCTGGAAAAGTAATTTAAATATTATACTCATAATATCAGTAAATTTATCAAGTATGAAAAGCCTACTAGAATACACCAAAACAGTACTAAAAATGGTTGCTCACCCAGCAGCAACATAAATCTTGCCAGCCAATGGGCAAGCACCAACGTAACAACGAGGGACATTCATACTCGTAACCAAAGTCCACTGAGCCAACCATGTATTATAAGCTTCTACAGTATCCAAATGTGAAGGACCGCGGCCTTCAGCGCCACCATAACCACCACATACATAAATAGTATCCCCCAACAAAGCACAACCAGCTCCCGACCGACGCATGTACATTGGTTTGCAAACAGACCACGTACCACAATGAAGATCAAAACTAATTAAAACAAAAAATACCGATAATAAATTCATGATGCACTAACAGTAGACATGCGAAGTTCGCGAAATTGACACTTTTAAAGGGTTCTTCTGACACAAGTCTTTCATGAAATTATGAAAAAGTAAAGATATTAACAGTCTGTTAGGATGTGCGGGAAAATATACCAATAGTTATCATGTCAAGTCTAATGTTGTCCTTGGACGTTAAATGTACATTTCCTATTGGTCGATATTTACTTCACTTGTTTAATATTGTGTAAATGTTGTTTTCTATTTTTATGGTACGATGTGGTCTGCTTGGTTAGTATATAAACAGAGTGTGTTTGAAATATAATGATTCATATCTCAGAGGCTGTGACTTGCGTTCTGGACTCAACTGGCTGGGATAGACAGCGAAGCAGGGTCAATCGGGACTCTAGGTCGTCCATTACGTGTTTACATGTCACTGAATCGATCGATAATACACTGCTCCATCTAACCTGCAGTCACACACGCTACAACACAGTCATTTGTGTCAATTAATATTTTTTAATTCATAAATCAGTTATCTCAGTAGTGGATTTTAATAAACAAGGGAAACAGAAAAACATTTATATGACAGGTCAATAAACGAATCATGAACAAGTATACAAATGTTTGTGCATTATTAATGTTAAGAAGCATTGGTATTTGATCAGTTTGGTAGTAATATTAATAATCATGACATAACAGATAGAAAAGCAATCTCTTTGGTTGTTATTCCTGACTAACGATATACCAAATATGAAGTGAAGCGTTAATGCTTAAAGAACATGTTATAACGCTCGGCTTTACTTCGTCTAATGTTATAACGGTTGTGTTTCCAATTTTACACGTATGGGATGTTAATTTATCTTAGACGAATATCTACACTAGATTCCCTCCCAGTGTCTATTCTACAGAACTTCAGGACAACTCAGATCAAGAACACGTGATTAGCCTGACCACAACGTAAACATATTTCCACACCAAAAACCCGATACAATCCAACAACAGTGAACAATCAACCAATGGTTGGAGACTCTTGGTGGCATGGCTCAGAATCAATCACAATGGCGTCGGTGTATACACTATATATCTTCCCTTAAACTAAGAGATTAAAATCGCTTCATAACTTTCTTTCTACGAGCTAATTCTTTCTTCCTGTACTATATCCTCATATGCAATCTCTCTTTTATATATTACCACCTCTGAATTAACTACTTTTATGAATCCGGTGTTCATCTTGTTGTGTTAATGAGGTATGGCAACCTGGACAGATGAATATATGTGCCTGGTCCTACGTTGTAGCTGACTCATTGACTGAATAATAATAATAATAATAATAATAATAATAATAATAATAATAATAATAATAATAATAATAATAATAATAATAATAATAAGGATAGGGGAATATATAACTTATCTGACACCTGTCAGACTATCTACATGTTTGACTAAGCAGACAACCAGTCATTATCAATCTCACCCATACATCAGAACTCCACGTTTAAACACTGGGTCATTGGTTTTAAACATGTTCCTATCTTTAATTTTCTTCTTTATAAATAGCAACATACAATTTTCAACGAAATAAATCTTTTGTTTCGTTATTATTCGGATAATATATCATAGTACATTTATCTCGTTCATAATATATATCTTTTCGGCGAGAGGATAATTTGTGGACGAACCAATGAGGTATAAGATAAAAGGTTTCGGATTTTGGTGCGAAATTCACTCATCCATTTGGCTAAATAAAGTTTTGGCATTATAGCTTATGTCAGTTCGTGATGAAAACCCTAAATCTAATTCCTAACCTTAACCATCAACTGTAGATCATAATTGTAATTCCTCACACCGATTTATAACCGTCATTGTTGAATAACTAAAAGGTTCCAGATCCATTTACGTAAGGTTGCTTAACTAAACTTCACGGATATAGAACGTCTTATACTTATTGTATATCTCAGTAGAACTATGGACATATCTTCGGGTACTCATCAGCTACGAAGCATGGGGTGAACAAATAGACAATAACGATGACTATTCGGAAAAAGATATATTGGAATAAATTAAAATGATCAAGTGGAGGAAGTATATTGCAAAACATTCAAATAAAATAAGTGGACACAGAATAATGAACACATGGAAATACCGATTAATGAAACTGTAGTTCCGAAAGTAAACATGAAATCAAGGCTAATGATGATTAATCCCAGTTTCGTAGATTGTAATGGCTATTGTTTTACATGTACTTACACACTGTTATTTGACGACTGAAAGCTATGTTATTCGAGTGTATCTTTTGTACATAACAAATGATTTCATCCTATTTGGTCAGTGGCTCACACATTATATATTTATTGAGTCGAGATTCGGGCCTCGACTTTATAACTGTTCACACTCTAAGTTACCTTTATCATTGGTTAATAAATAGTGATATCGTTATACGCTTGAGTCAGTTCGTGCTAATATTCAGCACAATTATAGTTTTCCGTCATATACATAAGGTTTTGATTGGGTTTTTGTCGAGAACTAGTTACACATTATCTTAAGTTACCAACAATCCGATTACACCGGCCGAGTCTGTTGAGAAATACGGCTGGTATTATTCCTAAAATAAAAACGGTGGTGTACGGTGTTTTAATCAATTTAGGTAGGACAGCACAGCAGTAGATCGACATTAAACGATTCTGAATCAGGCACACTATTTAGTAGTCAACTCATGTAAGAGATTTTCGTACAACAGTGGTATTATAACAAAGATGTATGTGAGGCTTTTTCAAATGAGAAATAAGTTTTAATTCATTTAGTATTTAACGGAAAACTATTTCTTGATTTACATAACTGTGTAGATTGCTAAAGCTCGACAACATTTATAGGACAGTGACCCTTTCAACACAAATATAATTGTATGAAATACTACGCGGTTCTCTACATATTTGATTCCATGAAAAATTCCGTTTCATTTTGAAAACAGTTAATATTTTATAAACACTTAAAACGATATCCGAAAATATTACCTTCCAGAAACAGTAAAAAATCAATCTGTAGCTCTTCTAGAGTTACTGTCGGTTCCAAGCCCGGTAAAAGAAGGAAGGTTGCGCAAAGGTTAGTAACCCTATCCAGAAGAAAGCAACCTTGTTAAAGAAACGCTAACAAGACGAAACATTTTAAATTCTCCCCTGTGAGAGAAATGCTGCTATACTCCGGTCACGAAGAAGAAAATGCTCTATATACACACACACACACAGGGAGTCGCTCTGATGCTGTTCAAAGAAGCACGAGACGCACTCAAGATAGGAATCTCACAGATCCAGGATAATCAAGGCATCCTTCAGAACAAAATAGAAGGCAATCATAATGAATGCTATCCAGTGTTATGCACCCAACAATGATAGCATTAACGACAATAAAGACCAGTCCTATAAGAGGCTGCAATCAATTATAGCGAAGTATCCAGTAAAAGGCCTGACCATCCTGATCAGAGACTTAAACTCCAAGATCGGAATGGACAACACCGGACATGACGATATCATGGGACGACATGGACTGGGAGAGAGGAACGAAAATGATGAGAGATTTGCGAACCTATGTACATTCAACAAATTGGTTATAGGTGGCACAATATTCCCATACAAGCGCATACACAAAGCTACATGGATTTTACCGGATCACACCACGGAGAACCAGATAGATCATATTTGTAACAATGAAAAATTCAGAAGAACAATGGGAGATGTGAGGATCAGGAGGTAGGGGAGCTGACATAACTCCAGATCATCAGCTGCTTGTGGCCATGATGAAACTGAAGCTAAAGAAACACTGGACATCTGGGAAAACAGCAGTACGGAGGTTCAATACAGAATTCCTGTGATATACTAACAAACTCAACCAATTCAAGATAACTCTCAACAGAAGATTCCGACCATTACAAGACCTACTCGAAGAAGAAACTACGATGGAGGACAATTGGAAAGGAATCAAAGAAGTACTAACTTCAACATGCCAGGAGGTGCTAGGCCGCAACAAGCATCATCACAAGGAATGGATCTCTATAGAAACCCTGGACAAGATTCAATAAAGGAAGAACAAGAAGACAGTGATTGACAACAGCCAAACACGAGTAGAGAAAGTCAAGGCACAAGCTGAATACACAGAAGCAAACAAGCAAGTGAAGAGGAGCATTAGAGCCGACAAGCAGAAATATGTGGAAGAGCCAGCAACGACAACGGACAAAGCTTGAAGAGAAGAAAATATGAGACAGTTATATGACACAACGAAGAAACTAGAAGGGAAATATAGTAAACCAGAGAGACTGATCAAGGAAAAAGAAGGAAAGACAATCACCGAGATTCAAGAACAGAGGAACAGATGGGTAGAATACTTCGAGGAGTTCTTGAATAGATCAGCTTCATTGAAACCACTGGACATCGAAGCAGTGCCTGCAGACCTTCCTGTAGATCTCACTCCACCAACGACAGAAGAAATCAGGATGACCATCAAGCAAATCAAGAGCGGGAAAGCAGCATGACCTGACAATATGCCAGCTGAAGCTCTAAAGTCAGACACAGAAGTAACTGCACGTATACTTCACGTGCTATTCAGGAAGATTTGGGAGGAAGAACAAGTGCCAACAGACTGGAGAGAAAAACACCTCATCAAGACACAAAAGAAAGAAGATCTGAGCAAATATGAGAACTTCTTCGACACTATGGTATACCTGAGAAGATCGTCAACATCATCCAGAATTCATACGACGGACTACAGTGCAAAGTCGTGCATGAAGGACAGCTGACAGATGGTTTCCAAGTAAGAACAGGAGTCACACAAGGTTGCTCAATCTCACCCTTTCTCTTTCTTGTGGTGGTCGACTGGATTATGAAGACCTCAACATCTGAGGGAAAGCACGGAATACAATGGACAGCTCAAAATCAATTAGGAGATTTGAACTTCACAGATGATCTAGCTCTTCTACCTCATACACACTAGCAAATACAGATGAAGAAAACCAGTTTAGAAGCAGCCTCTGCATTAGTAGGCCTCAACATACACAGGAAAAAGCACGATCCTCGAATACAACACATAGAATAACAACCCAATCACACCTGATGGAGAAGCTCTGGAAGACGTGGAATCGTTCACGGACCTAGGAAGCATCATCGATGAACAAGAGGATCGGATGCAGACGTAAAGGCGAGGATTGGAAAGGCGGAGGCCGCATTCCTACAATTGAAGAACATATGGAACTCAAAACATCTGTCAACCATTGCCAAAGTGAGTATCTTCAATACGAACGTCAAGACAGTTTTACTGCGCGGAGTTGAAACTTCGAGAACTACCACAACCATCATCAAAAACAGTAGAAGTATTTATAAATAATTGCTCATGTAAGATACTTCAGATCTGTTGGTCGGACACTATCAGTAACGACCTACTATGGCAGAGAACAAACCGGCTTCCAGCTGAAGAGGAAATTAGGAAAAGACGTTGGAGGTGGATAGGATATACATCGCAGAAATCATTAAACCGCATCACGAGGCAAGTCTTAACTTGGAATTCTAAAAGGAAACGAAAAACAGGAAGACCAAAGAACCCATTGTGTCGGTAATTTGAGGCAGACATAAGAAGAATGTACAGCAATTGAAAACAAATGGAAAGTATTGCCCAGGACAGGGTAGGATGGAAGGTGCTGGTTAGCGGCCTATGCTCCACGAGGTGTAACAGGCCTAAGTGAGTATGTACAATAACGGTGTTGGTGTTTTTGGAATAACATGGTAGGACAACACAATTTATTTCACTGAAATACAAAAGATTATACTTATATTTAAAATTCAATCAGGATGAAAAAAAAGTTATTTATACGATTACGGTTGGATCCTAAAACCGTAATGCAACGAGGCATGAATGCATTGACATTCTGGCTTCAGACATTTGAAAGAACAAGATTAAGAAACAGGTCTAGTTTATTTTTTTCGAATACAAACTTAATAATTAGCTTTTTATAGTCTTGAATAAGCTTTTCTCTAGATCTCAGGCGACTAAGACTAGAAACTGAGAAACAATAGATAAGCCTTATTAAAATTATTATTTCGACTACATTTAAACTTACGCTTCCATGCTGTTCAGTAGGTGGAATCCATCATAACCTCCTAAACAGTAAAGTGTATCATCTACAACAACAAGACCTGCACCTTCTCTTGCTGTAGTCATTTCTTCTAAAATTCTCCATTCGTCAATTTTCGGATGATAAACTTCAAAGGACCGAAGACGCGACTGACCATCGAAACCACCACAGACATAGATTAGACCTAAATTAAACAAGAATTCATAAGTGAAAAATAATCCTCCTTGTGAAACTCAAATAAATCGACAGACAAATAGGTAAAAGTGTAAAAACAGCATATTGTAAAAGGGAGTAGAAACTGATAACTGTAGTATGATTCGAAAACCAATTGATGAGATTTGTTATCATTAGCAGTATCACAATAACAGGTAAGTCATTTCTACTGTTCTCCAAGAACAAAACTGCCCTGCACAAAATTGGTGATCATTACAAAAAAGCATTTGCCTTTTAATAAGCTGGGCACCCGGGCAGCATCATAGCCTATACACAAATCAAGTGAATTGTATGGCGCATATGTATTCGGTGCCGCTTTGTACCAATATTTATGTGTTCGAATAAATAAAGAATAACTTTATAAAATTCATGAGGTAGACTACCAGAAGCATAAATACATAGATTAAATATAATAAGTTACTATTTACTCAGCATTTAGGTATTCAAAATAACAAAAGTGAGTGATAAAGGAGAGAACCTACAGGGAATTTGTTATATCTTAAAGGCTGATTCCTTGATATAACGCGTATAACAGAGCACCAGAACATCAAACCCTTCCAAGTCGCAGTAAGAAGACAGAAGACTAACGAAAGAAATACTATTCCAGTGTCAATTATAGTACAAAATTGTCAGGTATTCATAGTTTTTAGTAAGAACGAAATTATCATTACAGTCCACCAATCCGCGTACATGGGATTATTAGCATTGACCAATCAGGATGCTACATGTTGAATTCTAGAATATTCTTCTGAATGGTAATTGGATGGAACATCTTCGGCTCCTTCTGAGCCTCCTACAGCTTCCTCGAGCTCACCCGTGGTCCGTCGTCACAGAATTAGTACACGTTTAAATTTGGATTTGCATATTCGTTGTTTCTACTATGTAGGACATAACGATCTTAGCGCACAGAATAGACGTCGACTAAGGGATAGCACTGGGTCAACTTTTTCTTCTGCCCTTCTACCTGTCCAAGGAGTATCCAAAAGAATCTTAGAACTATGCCAAAGAATTCAATAATGAATAGCTCCCAACTACGTGGCAGCGGTTTGAGAAAACATATATTGAACACGGTTATTCAGTAGAAATCGGCATTACTTTTAGAGTAATGAATCGGTAGAATAACAAAAAACTACTACATTATGCAGAAGCAGTGGTTTTTCGTGTACACCCCACCTGGCACTGCCATGATGACAGATTCACTGATAGACTTCATTCCCTTCTATTATCTCTCGGTTTATCTGTTTGAAATCATCTTTATGTAATCGCGATACCACTTTCATTATTTAATTTAGTCAGATTTTTATTTCTAATTTGTGGTTATTACAACTACTCCTGCCATTTTAAGACTGGGCAATAAAGTGTTATTAATTGAAACATCCAATTACTTCCGTTTTTTCATACCCTCTGTTAGCGGGACATAGACTGGATTAAAGCATGCTCAATGCACGATTGCTTTGGTGCACGCTGATTGGCTAATTATTATCCAATCAGCACTAGCCGATGGTTGGAGAACACTCTAGAATCTTCTAATGTAAAAACTATGAATATACTAACGTTTTCCCTATTGTGATTCTTACTTCCATCTAACCTTGTTATTTGGAATATAATCTCTTTCCTGTTGAATCGTGTTCTGATTTGGTGTCCGAGAATACTAAGCAATAGGAATAGCTGGGTCATAACCGTAAGAAAGAGATTACAACACCCTCCTCAACTATTAACAACATTACTATTATGATTGTTTTACTACTGTTTCTTTGGTCATCACTATAACTCATTATATTTTATCCACCGAAATCATATCAATTTAAAAATGCATTTTGTAATCCATTAAGTCACAATCGCTAAATCCATTCATCTGTATTGTGAATTTTTATGAATATGGAAGGCACTTCCAAACATTTCCCTACTAATGAACGAAATAAATTCATCTATGTTACATAACTGAATAACATTTATAAAACACCATCTTGCATACAATTCAGTGAGTATATAGAAGACTTACATACTCACTTAGAAATGTGTTAGGATGTGCAGAAAAATATACCAATAATTATCATGTTAAGTCTAATGTTGTCCTTGAACGTTAAATGAACATCCCCTATTAATCGATATTTGTTCACTTGTTAAAAATTGTACAAAATGTTGTTTTCTATTTTATGGTACGATGTGGTTTGTTTGGTTAGTATATAAATAGAGTATGTCAGAAATATAATGATTCACAACTCAGAGGCTGAGATTTGTGTTCTGGACTCGACTGGCTGGGCTAGACAGGGAAGCGCGACCAATTGAGACTCTAGGCCGTTCGTACGTGTTTTACGTATCACTGAATCGATCGATAAAACGCTTCACTCTAATCTGCAGTTTCACGTCATAACAACCTGTTACACCTCGTGGAGCATAGGCCGCTAACCAGCACCTTCCATCCTACCCTGTCCTGGGCAATACTTTCCATTTGTTTTCAATTGCTGTACATTCTTCTTATGTCTGCCTCAAATTACCGACACAATGGGTTCTTTGGTCTTCCTGTTTTTCGTTTCCTTTTAGAATTCCAAGTTAAGACTTGCCTCGTGATGCGGTTTAATGATTTCTGCGATGTATATCCTATCCACCTCCAACGTCTTTTCCTAATTTCCTCTTCAGCTGGAAGCCGGTTTGTTCTCTGCCATAGTAGGTCGTTACTGATAGTGTCCGGCCAACAGATCTGAAGTATCTTACATGAGCAATTATTTATAAATACTTCTACTGTTTTTGATGATGGTTGTGGTAGTTCTCGAAGTTTCAACTCCGCGCAGTAAAACTGTCTTGACGTTCGTATTGAAGATACTCACTTTGGCAATGGTTGACAGATGTTTTGAGTTCCATATGTTCTTCAATTGTAGGAATGCGGCCTCCGCCTTTCCAATCCTCGCCTTTACGTCTGCATCCGATCCTCTTGTTCATCGATGATGCTTCCTAGGTCCGTGAACGATTCCACGTCTTCCAGAGCTTCTCCATCAGGTGTGATTGGGTTGTTATTCTATGTGTTGTATTCGAGGATCGTGCTTTTTCCTGTGTATGTTGAGGCCTACTAATGCAGAGGCTGCTTCTAAACTGGTTTTCTTCATCTGTATTTGCTAGTGTGTATGAGGTAGAAGAGCTAGATCATCTGTGAAGTTCAAATCTCCTAATTGATTTTGAGCTGTCCATTGTATTCCGTGCTTTCCCTCAGATGTTGAGGTCTTCATAATCCAGTCGACCACCACAAGAAAGAGAAAGGGTGAGATTGAGCAACCTTGTGTGACTCCTGTTCTTACTTGGAAACCATCTGTCAGCTGTCCTTCATGCACGACTTTGCACTGTAGTCCGTCGTATGAATTCTGGATGATGTTGACGATCTTCTCAGGTATACCATAGTGTCGAAGAAGTTCTCATATTTGCTCAGATCTTCTTTCTTTTGTGTCTTGATGAGGTGTTTTTCTCTCCAGTCTGTTGGCACTTGTTCTTCCTCCCAAATCTTCCTGAATAGCACGTGAAGTATACGTGCAGTTACTTCTGTGTCTGACTTTAGAGCTTCAGCTGGCATATTGTCAGGTCATGCTGCTTTCCCGCTCTTGATTTGCTTGATGGTCATCCTGATTTCTTCTGTCGTTGGTGGAGTGAGATCTACAGGAAGGTCTGCAGGCGCTGCTTCGATGTCCAGTGGTTTCAATGAAGCTGATCTATTCAAGAACTCCTCGAAGTATTCTACCCATCTGTTCCTCTGTTCTTGAATCTCGGTGATTGTCTTTCCTTCTTTTTCCTTGATCAGTCTCTCTGGTTTACTATATTTCCCTTCTAGTTTCTTCGTTGTGTCATATAACTGTCTCATATTTTCTTCTCTTCAAGCTTTGTCCGTTGTCGTTGCTGGCTCTTCCACATATTTCTGCTTGTCGGCTCTAATGCTCCTCTTCACTTGCTTGTTTGCTTCTGTGTATTCAGCTTGTGCCTTGACTTTCTCTACTCGTGTTTGGCTGTTGTCAATCACTGTCTTCTTGTTCTTCCTTTATTGAATCTTGTCCAGGGTTTCTATAGAGATCCATTCCTTGTGATGATGCTTGTTGCGGCCTAGCACCTCCTGGCATGTTGAAGTTAGTACTTCTTTGATTCCTTTCCAATTGTCCTCCATCGTAGTTTCTTCTTCGAGTAGGTCTTGTAATGGTCGGAATCTTCTGTTGAGAGTTATCTTGAATTGGTTGAGTTTGTTAGTATATCACAGGAATTCTGTATTGAACCTCCGTACTGCTGTTTTCCCAGATGTCCAGTGTTTCTTTAGCTTCAGTTTCATCATGGCCACAAGCAGCTGATGATCTGGAGTTATGTCAGCTCCCCTACCTCCTGATCCTCACATCTCCCATTGTTCTTCTGAATTTTTCATTGTTACAAATATGATCTATCTGGTTCTCCGTGGTGTGATCCGGTAAAATCCATGTAGCTTTGTGTATGCGCTTGTATGGGAATATTGTGCCACCTATAACCAATTTGTTGAATGTACATAGGTTCGCAAATCTCTCATCATTTTCGTTCCTCTCTCCCAGTCCATGTCGTCCCATGATATCGTCATGTCCGGTGTTGTCCATTCCGATCTTGGAGTTTAAGTCTCTGATCAGGATGGTCAGGCCTTTTACTGGATACTTCGCTATAATTGATTGCAGCCTCTTATAGGACTGGTCTTTATTGTCGTTAATGCTATCATTGTTGGGTGCATAACACTGGATAGCATTCATTATGATTGCCTTCTATTTTGTTCTGAAGGATGCCTTGATTATCCTGGATCTGTGAGATTCCTATCCTGAGTGCGTCTCGTGCTTCTTTGAACAGCATCAGAGCGACTCCCTGTGTGTGTGTGTGTATATAGAGCATTTTCTTCTTCGTGACCGGAGTATAGCAACATTTCTCCCGTATCTAGCATTTGCTATCCAGTTTATAATTTGAATAACGATAAAATCTCAAACTCTGTAATAATGTAAAAGGCATCAATAATACATTTGCAATATAATTATACCTAAATTATCGAGAGACAAACTATTTTCATACCCTAGTACGTACCTTTGTTTGTACAAGCAGCAGACAGACCTCTTTTATAGTGCATTGGAGTAAGTAAACGCCAACCTTCTTCTCTTTGAGCGATGTCAAGAGAGTACACGGTATTTAGTCTTTCATTTCCATCAAAACCACCAATCACGTAGACACATGTACCCAATGAACATGCTGCTACATAGCGGTAACTTATCGGTAAATCCTAAAAAATGTTAATTAAAAACATGGATGTTTTTCATATGAATTACAGGGTTTGTTAGACGATGAACTTTAGATCAATTTATTTGCAACTTAATTTGAACAAAACAACGAATAGTCACCATGCTATTTAATTTTGGATTCGCAAGCAAATTAATTTTTGAAATGGAGCTACTTTGTTAAGTTTACTAGTCATAAATTAGCTACTACCACCACTACTTTATCCCTTGTTAGCTACAGGAATATAGAAACGAAGGGAGTTCAGCACTGTTGAGTGCTCTAAAGGATCAATTATGAGGGCTCTTTTTCAATGAAACATAACTCCTGCGGGTTTATGATGTCGGATGTTTGAAATTGAGACCAAAACATGAAATGAACACAGGCAACCTATGAAAGGAATGATACTTTAGACCTGCGCATAGTGGTGACCTTATGAACGACTATTAGTAGCCATTCAAGAATAACAGCAAAGATAAGATTTAGAGTAAGAAAACGTCCGGTTTCGTTAACCTAAGAGAGTGAGTAATTTTAATATCGAAATTTCAGGAGTAAGGTAGAATCATTAACTCACAGTTTAGTATGCGAACCTTGAAGTAATTGGTGAGTTGCATATAGATTAAGCTTGGTTTGCAATTTACAAACAAATATCAGTAAAAGCTCAAGATTGTTAAGATTCTGGATAATCTTTTGATAGACAAACTAATTTTTAAAGACTACACATTTTTAGCTATCAGCTATAATCACAAGCGAATGAAGGAAATGACATATTTTGAACTTTTCGTTCTCAAATTCAGATATTTGTTTATAGAACCTTTAGTTCACTGTACATCTTTTAAGCTAGAGCAAACAAACCTTCGACCAAAAAAGCCTATAACTATTGCATACAATGCATAAAAAGATCTGTAATGCTAGTAATTCAAATAAAAAAAATCAACAGATGATGAAACAAATTATATCGGAAAATAGATTAGGTGCCTGATAAAACACTTGATTTCAAGATTTAAAAGTTCGGAGAATATGAAAACTTGATGACATAATAACAATAAGTAAAATAAAGGTAGAGTCTAGTTGAACTGACTCGAAAAAAACTTACAGAAAGAGATGCCCCCAAACGCCCTGGTACGGTCAAGAGTGGGAAGAGCCAGCTCTTTCCCAAAATGCTCCCACATGGCCATGCATATACAATCACTACCAAGAAAGTCCTACACAGTATCTTCTTGTGGCGGACCGGTTGTTCACGAAATCGAGAGGATGATGTCCGGCGCTCTAACCGGGTTGGTGGACTCGGAGGGGTCACCTAGGGGAGTTGGAAAACCCTGATCCCAAACCAATAGTGCCCATGAGCTCCAGTATCCTTAAGGAACAGAAGGCGTATGAACCAATCGTTGGTCACCGGTTACCATGGGACTGCATCGCCTGACGTTGCTCCGCTACCTTAAGGTCAAGGGTTCTAGTTGTGGCCCCTAAGAAAACCATATGCTTCGGTTTGGTCACCCGGACAGTATCATAGCCCACACACAAATCAATTGAATTGTGTGGTGCATATGTGTTCGGTGCCCTTTGTACCGATATTTATGTGTTCAAATAAATAATGCAGTAAGAAATAAAAGATCTATAATTTGATACACCTTGATAACTTACAGGTAACTCGTTCCATTCTAAGGTTCGTGGGTTAAACATTTCAACGGAATCCGAAGGGTCCTGATCAGAACCGAAACCACCAATGACAACTAAGTACTCATTGCCACCGTCACGCTGACGAAATCTTCGATCACGCATTTCATGGCGTAAATCTGGACGTAAATGAAACCGTTTAGCATCATCTACCAAATCCCGACACTCGAGAGATTGTCGAATAAGACGCTAAAATTTGGAAAATGTGAACTTATTTATAGATAAAGATTACGTTGTAACATAAATGCTTTCATTAGTCATAATCAACCTACAATCTGGAAAAAATGTGAGTTAGTCAAAGATACAATCACATTAGCCCGACACGAAATTAATAAGATAAAAAATACTGGAAACGAAATAATGTAGTGGAAATAATGGTGAGTAAGTTTGGCTTCAAAAGACAGAATAAAAATGTATGTATGAGTGGTTACTAGGAACGAAAATTCAGAGGAAGCGAATGTATGTGCGCTAGTGTTAATGGTTCTAAGGGATTCCACACAAATTCCCCAGCTGTTGATCACATAAATCACAATTAAGTAGTTGCATATGTCAAAATTCAAGAAATGAGGAACAAGGAGGCAGTAATCAATATCAGCCGAACAAGAGCATAGAAAATTAAGACACAAGCTGAATACACAAAAGCAAACAAGCAGATGAAGAGGAGCATCAGAGCCGACAAATGCAAGTATGTGGAAGATCTAGCAACGACGGCAGAAAAAGCTACAAGAGAAAGAAAAATGAAACGATTATATGATACAACAAAGAAACTCGCTGGATATTATCGTAAACCAGAACGACCAGTGAAAAGCAAGGAAGACAAAGTAATCACCAACATTGAAGAACAGAGAAACAGGTGAGTAGAGCACTCTAAGGAACTCTTCAGTCGACCAGCACCACTGAACCCACCCAACATCGAAGCAGCAACCACGGACCTCCCAATCAATGCTGACCCACCGACAATTGAAGAGATTAGCATGGTCACCAGGTAAATCAAGAGCGGGAAAACAGAGGGACCAGACAATATTCTAGCAGAGGCACTGAAAGCAGACGCAGCAGTAACTGCAAAGATACTCAACATTCTCTTGAGCAAGATTTGGGATGAAGAACAAGTACCAACAGACTGGAAAGAAGAATACCTGATCAATATATCAAAGAAAGGAGATCTAAGCAAGTGTGATAACTACAGAGGCATCACACTACTGTCAGTACCAGGAAAGGTCTTCAACAGGGTGTTGTTAAACACAATGAAAGACTCTGTAGACGTCCAACTTATAAATCAACAGGCTGGAATCCGTAAGCATCAATCGTGTACCGAATAAATCGCAACACTACGGATCATCGTGAAACAATCAATTGAATGGAATTCACCACTCCATACCAACTTCATTGACCACAAGAAAGCATTTGATAGCGTGGACAGGACAACACTATGGAAGCTTATTCGACACTACGGCGTGCCTGAGGAGATAGTCGATATCATACGAATTCTTATGATGGATCAAACTGCGAAATTTTGCATGGAGGACAGCTCACAGATTCGTTCAAAGTAAAGACCGGTGTCAAGCAAAGTTGCTTATTCTCACCCTTTCTCCTTCTCCTGGTGACCGACTGAACCATGAAGACGACATCTCGCGGGAAGCATAGGACACAGTTGACGTCTAGGATGCAGTTGGACGATCTAGACTTCGCAGGTGATCTAGCTCTTTTATAGCACACGCAACAACAATTTCGGAAGACAACCAGTGTAGCAGCAGCCTCAGCAGCAGTAGGTCTCAATATACACAAAGAGAAGAGCAAGGTTCTCCGATACAACACAGCATGCACCAATCCAATCACAATTGACGGAGAAGATTTGGAAGATGTAAAAACCTTTACATATCTGGGCAGCATCATTGATGAACAGGTGGATCTGACGCGGAAGTGAAGGCAAGAATCGGCAAAGCAGGAATAGCATACTTACAACTGAAGAACATTTGGAACTCAAAACAACTGTCAACCAACACCAAAGTCAGAATTTTCAATACAAATATCAAGACAGTACTGTATGGGTGGAAACTTGGAGAACTACGAAAACCATCATCCAGAAGATATATGTGTTTATTAACAGCTACCTACGCAATATACTTCGGATCCATTGGCCAGACACTAACCGGAACAATCTATTATGGGAGAGAACAAACCAGATTCCAGAGGAAGAAATCAGGAATAAGCACTGGAAGTGGATAGGACACACATTGAGGAAAGCACCCAACTGTATCACAAGGCAAGCACCCACTCGGAATCGTCAAGGACGAATGAGGGGAGGTAGACCAAAGAACACATCACGCAGAGAAGTGGAGACAAACGTGAGAAGAATGGACAACAATTGGATAGAACTAGAAAAGAAGGCCTTACTTTTCAGTGAACAACGAAGTGACCGCCACCAACGGATTGATGTTAGCAAGCTGGTTGCAACTTCTGTTGCTAGTAAGTATCGAACTGAGCTAGTTTCTAGGCTAGCTACCATTCCACCGAAAAGTATAGATGAGCATTGTTTGCAATTGCATGACGCCATCAAAATGGCGGGAACAGTCAGTTGTGGGTTCGCGAAACGTCCCGCTTATAAACACTAGGTTTCTTCAGGCTCCTTACAACTCATTAAAGCCCGTCAGTCTACTCCGGGTGACCGTGAGTTTGACCATAAACGAAGGGTGTTACTTAATTAAATTGGGCAAAGCTTGCGTAAGGACCGAGAAGCCTGGTGGTCGAAGCATGCTAATGAGTTGGAAGCAGCAGCTGCATCTGATAATTACCGAAAGCTCTTCCAACTCATCCGAGCCACTGGCAGCAAGAAGTCTGCTGTGAGTGAAACAATCTGTGAGGATGATGGGATGCCAATCACTAACATCTATCGACGTCTTGGACGATGGTCAGAATTTTTCGAAGGGCAGTTCAAATGGCCTGCTGCTCCGGCAACATCGGTCAGACTGTCCTGCCCTCCATGGCCGGTGACGACTGATCCACCAAATGAGGCGGAAGTCCGCAAGGAACTCCAACTCTTGAAGCGCTACAAATCACCTGGCCCAGATGACTTACTTCCGGCTCTTTTTAAAGATGGTGGTGAATTTCTGACTAGGGAATTGACGACGTTGTTTACAAAGGTTTGGGAACTAGAGAGTGTACCAACGTCATGGAATAAGTCGATAGTTGTCCCTATCTTTAAAAAGGGTTCACGTCGTTCCTGTAACAACTATCGGGGGATAAGTCTACTTCCGAATGCGTCCAAGCTATTGGCTTCCGTCATACTTCGTAGGTTGTTCAAAACCCGAGGAAGATTGACTCGCGAGGAGCAGGCTGGGTTTCGGTCTGGTCGAGGATGTATTGATCATATATTCACCCTCCGCCAAATGTTAGGACACCGCCATACTTATCAAAGGCCAACAATCGTAGTGTTTCTTGACATCAGGGCTGCCTTCGATTCGTTGGACAGGACTGTTCTCTGAGATTGCCTATTGAAGAAGGGTGCGCCTGAGAAGTTTATTAACATCCTAAAGACCCTATATACAAACACCTCAGGCAGAGTGAGGACATACAACCACCTCTCTCCATTGTTCCATTCGAGCAGTGGGGTTATGCAGGGTTGCCCAATCTCACCATTCCTCTTCAACTTTGCCATCGATGACATTCTGGAAACAGCTCTGATGGATGTAAGTAATGGTGGGGTGGATCTGTTGCCTAGAGAAATACTTCTCGACCTTGAGTATGCGGATGATATTGTCTTGCTGTGCAATAATGCCCAAGGCATGAAATTCGCATTTAATCAGTTGGCAATCAGTGTCCGTAGGTATGGTACGTGCTTTGCACCTTCGAAGTGCAAAGTACTTCTACAAGACTGGTAGGATTCTAATCTTGTACTCACCCTGGATATTGAACAGATAGAAGTAGTCGAGAAGTTCGTGTATCTGGGTAGTTGCATAAGTGCTGGTGGTGGCGTGAGTGATGAGATCAATGCACGTATAGTGAAAGCCAGAGCGGCTTGTACCAATCTGGGCCACCTTTTGCGCCCTCGTGATGTTAGTCTGGCTGTAAAAGGTCGGATCTACAACGCGTCGGTGAGAGCAGTTTTGCTCTATGCTTGTAAAACCTGGCCTCCCCGAGTTGAGGACGTTAAACAACTTCCTGTGTTCGATCATCGTTGTCTCCGAAGGATTGCTGAAATCCAGTGGCAACACCATGTTAGTAATGCAGAGGTTCGGCATCGTGTGTTCGGGCACAGAGATGATAATGCAATTGGTGTCACCATCTTGAAACACCGACTTCGGTGGCTTGGACATGTTCTCCGAATGTCGCCCCAGAGAATTCCACGTCGTGCATTATTTGCCGACTATGGGACTGGTTGGAAGAAGCGGAGAGGTGGTCAGTGTATGACATGGTGTCGTGGCATGAAAGAAAGCTGCAAAGGACTGGCTTGCGTTGGTCCTTCACGACTCCCTGGTTGGGGTCTGAGAGATGGCGCTACACAGTGGCTAGAGACGTTATCAGATATGGCTCAGAATAGAAGCCAGTGGCGATCCTGCTGTAAGCTTCTTTTACCTTCTTCATAAAAAGTGGTTGTGTCTCCCTTATCTGAAAGATTTCTTCTGATTGTACTTTTCCGTTCCCTCATTATTACTATTATTATTACTACACTACCTTACACCAACCTCTTCGTTATTGTTCACTTTTTTCACGCTCCTTACCTTTTTTTTCTTTCTCTTCGAATTCTCACTGTTTTGTGTGGCGCATATATATTGGCGCTCTCTTGTACCAATATTTATGTGTTCAAATAAATAAATAAATAATAATAATACGCCTAACCTCAGCACAGCTTAGTTGGTGGCACAATTATGATCTAAAACTAGCAATATACGAACCCCCTCGACTTTTAAAAGCAACACTTCAAACTGATGTTAGATATACATCTCACCTACGCCAGCAATGACACAAGTTGCCAAATACTAACTCAGGTTTCGGAATCAGTGCCTAAATTTTATCATGAACCAACTCATTAGGGCTAATGAGATTCCCAAGTCAAGTGAGGTGATTAATGCATCCAACTACTTCACTCCTTATGACAAGTCTAGGCAATGATCCAGGTCAGTCCTGAAGCGGGATAGAAACACATCTGTAATCCTAGAAAATAGAAGTTGTCTTTAGGATAAACAGATTACACCTCAATACTAAGTTTTTTATTAACAATACAGTATAGTAGCACAGTTTTAAATACCATAATTATTGATGGTGGTATTTAATCATAAATTTAGAACTGCAGGTCTGCACTCTTAATTTAAACATTTTACAAAACTGACGACCAGAACAAGAGTCCATATGGACTCACGATGGGTGATAAAACCCTAACTATAATAACAGTTCAATGATAGTAACGTAAAGGAAAAATAACACTTTAATCTCAATGACAAACGCCAACTGGTTGAACGATAAGCCAAATAAACATTAAAAGTAAAATGTGAGAAAACCGTTTAATCTTTATTGTGTAAACCTACTTACATCTTTATCCACAACATCTGTGAGGAAACGAACTGACATAACTGAAAGACGAATGTTTCGAAGCAAAGAAGGAAGATTCGCGACCCTTTCAATGGGTTGATGATATACCCAGCGCATAACAGCGTTATATACAGATTCTTCATTGTCAATCTGAAAAAAAATTGCATTGATATTCATGAGCCAGTACTTTTACAAACGGAAAACTGGAAAGACAAATATTGGTAGGGATCCCAAACAAGTTAATCAAACATTTTAGTACTACATGTTCCCTCTCGAAATATCAAATTGGCTTTTAAATACAGCAAGAACGAAGATTGGTGCAGAATAATATGAACTCATTTTACTTGGTTAGGTTCTCATCAGCTGCTTACAACCTATAACGCTTAAAATCAACGTTATCACAGATATTGACATACTTATAAATACGAGGGTGATTAGAGATGGATATGTGTATCATGATGCAGCGAAGACCTCGATTGAGTTAATGTCATAAAAGTTTTGTTTCAGATAGATAAAGTTTAGGAGGGAAAGTTCCAGAACATTGAAATGATTATTAGAACTTCTGGAGTTAACAAACATTAGATGATTGTGCAATGAAGATTAATGGTAATAATGTATCGGCAGTATATATTCTTTCTGTTCTATGAAATAGTATTTTAACAAGTGTCTTTTGGTAACTGATTGGATAAAAACTATTGTGATCAAGATAAATTCCATTTCATGTGTCTTTTCTATAAACTAAACGTTGAACTGTGCCATTCTTCCTTCGTTCCATTATGATATTGAGAAAGTGGAACTTTTTTTCATTTTCATGTTCAATAATAACCTGGATTTTTGGATGGACGTTGTTGAAAAGTTTCAGCAGATTTGTTACATGTTGATTATTGCATACGATGAAAGTATCATCAATATACCTTGAATAATACATTGTCCAATTAGTTACAAAAATGGCACTTGTTAAAATACTATTTCATAGAACAGAAAGAATATATACTGCCGATACATTATTACCATTAATCTTCATTGCACAATCATCTAATGTTTGTTAACTCCAGAAGTTCTAATAATCATTTCAATGTTCTGGAACTTTCCCTCCTAAACTTTATCTATCTGAAACAAAACTTTTATGACATTAACTCAATCGAGGTCTTCGCTGCATCATGATACACATATCCATCTCTAATCACCCTCGTATTTATAAGTATGTCAATATCTGTGATAACGTTGATTTTAAGCGTTATAGGTTGTAAGCAGCTGATGAGAACCTAACCAAGTAAAATGAGTTCATATTATTCTGCACCAATCTTCGTTCTTGCTCTCTTTAATATAATGAATGGAACTATGTGTATGAAATATCAAATTAGTGCTTATATTACTGGAAAACTATCCTGATACGAAATAAGATTACAAAACGTCATCAAAAATAGCGTCCAATGCTGCACTAAAATAAACCAAATGACTTTGTAAAATACAATTATTTTCCAAGTATCTAACTATTAGCAGTGACACATACACACACAATACTGATAATATATTAATGATGATATTTAAGAACGGTAATAAGTGAAAGCGAGTCAAAATGTAAGTTCCATGGAAATCAAAACTGTCAGCTATAACAAATAATGCTGTTTTCGCACGCTTATCTCAAAAGATCGAGTAAGATATGTAACCTACAGTACATAGCCTCCATATATGTGCAGACCAATACTTATACAATCATCAAACAAAAATTGGTCCAAACACGCTATTAGTTAAAAGAAAAAGACAGTAAATAATTACGATGGTAACCCATCTAATGAGGAAATGTTTAACTTGGCACATTAGAAGTCTAGACACGTCAAACAGGCTTTGTGATAATATGCGTAGATGGTAGTTTAAAATGAACGAGATCTCAAATCCCCTCATTAGCGAGATTAAAATTAAGTATTCAAAGTTAATCTAATTTGCTTGATTTCTTACGTGTAAATCTTCTCTTGTAATAAGATCAAGCAATTCCTCAGGTGTGAGGCATACGAATTCCTCAGAGTCAACAACTGACTCAAAATTACAGGCTGCAAAGTTTCGTGTAAACTTTTCTAATTCTACACAGTTATGCAGTTCAGCAAATCGTCTGATGCCAAGAACATTCGTGGAATCTACTTCCGTCAAGAGAAAATTAGAGCAAGCAACTTTAACACCCTCCATCTGAACAAGACTTGCTGCTGGAAGAAGATCTTGGACATTAGCCATGCTTACACGAACTTGACCAGTGTACACATAATCTAGAAGGGTATCCATTATTTCAGGAGTGATGGACTTGAGTTCAACTTCCAACTGCGCTGATTCAGCCATCTGATAAAAAATAAAATATAATGAATATATATAAGTTAATCAAAGGGCTACATGAATAATACAATTATTATTTATTATTTAAACATAAACATTGGTACAAGAAGGCACCAAATACATATTCGCCACATAAATCATTCGATTTGTGTGAGGGCTGGGATACTGCCCGGGTACCCAGACCGAAGCAGGTGGTTATCTTAGAGGGTCACACCCCGAGCCTTTGACCTAAAGGTCTAACCCACAAGGCAATGGAGCATCGTGATGAGATGCAGTCCCATTGTAGCCGGTAACCAACGAGTGGTTCATACGCCATTTGTTCCCGCAGGATACTGGAGCCCATGTGAACCATTGGTTTGGAATTCGGTTAAAGCGCTGGACATTCGCTTTTCGTCCTCTCATTTTCGTAAACAACACCCCCGCCACGAGAAGGTAGTGAGTAGGACTTCCCTGGCAGGGTCTGTATAGAATAATACAATACTCTGTCCCAAAACTATGACAGTAATTCGAAACTAGGTTCAGTATCAGGAATATATTAAAAGCGTAATGAAGTGATTAGGGATGGATGCAACTAATCCATAGATATCCAAACATTTCTACTGTGAGTGAAAAGCAAGAGCCAGAACTGAAAAATAGTTACTAAGGGTAACTTTCAAAACAACGATAATTCTATAACACAAAAAAGTTCATTTTTTCTGTTTACTTTGTGTCTTTATTAGGCTCATCGAACGTACTCACCTCTTTAATATTAATAAATGCCATCGACACACAAGAAGTATGCAAGAGTGCTAAAACTCAAGATTTAGAAGAGGATAAAGAATGAACTATATATACTATTTCTCTTTTAAAAACGAATTATCCAAAACACTTCACAACTCCAGTGAATCCTACCAATAATCATAGAAATATGTAAAACTAACAGTTTATTGAAATAAACTAAATACATTCAAAAATAAGCTTACCCCACTGGAAAACATGGCGTCGAAATAGTCGCTGGAAGCTGCCAAAACTACACGGTGAGCTAAAAATTCTCTTCCCTCTGCTTTGATAACTACATCACAGAGCTGCCCCTCCTTGCGAAATGCATTCATCTTTTTGAATGCCGTTACTGAGTAGTAGTCCGTACCTTGAGAAAAAGTAATAAAATAAAAAAAATTCTACATGAAAGAGGAAACGGTAGACGTAAGATATTGAATACAATTCAGCCCCATGAACTAACGTTCGTTCCCCAGTGTATCATATTTAATTATTTCAGGAATGAATACAGATGGTAATACGAATTATAAAATACTGAAAGACATTTATACTGTAAATAAATAACCAACAGGCATGAGATATTTTATTTGGAAAGTTGCCAGCAACAAATATCGATGTAAAAAAGGTAAAGTAGGTCTAAAATAGGGAAAAAGAATACATGTAACCAGGATGACGTAGCAACGAACTTAAGTCTCAAGTTAACATATGATTATGAATAATCGTTGGAAATTATTTATTTATTTACATACAAATAATGGTACAAGGGGGCATCTAATACATACACTCCTTACTTCGTCATTTGATTTGTGTGAGAGCTGGGATACTGCCCGAACGTCCAAACCAAAGCGGTGGTTTTCTTAAGAGGCCACACCCAGAGCCTTTGACCTACAAGTCTAATACACAAGACAGTGAAGTAAAGTTAGGAGATGCACTCTCATAGTAGCCGGTGACCAACAATGGGTTCATACGCCTTCTGTTCCCTCAGGATACTGGAGCCCATTTGCACCACTGGTTTTAAATCAGGGTTTTCCAACTCCCCTGGATGAACTCTCTGAGTCCACTAACCCAGCTAAGGCGCCAGACATTCGGTTTTCGTTCTCTTAATCTCGTAAACAAACGTTCCGCCACAAGAAGGCACTGAGTAGGACTTCTTTGGTAGTGATTGTATGTGCGTGGCCATGTGGGAGCATTTTGGGAAAGAACTGGCTCTCTCCACTCTCGACTATGCCAGCGCATTTGGGGGCAATCACTATGAAAAGCTCAAATTTTGAGCTAAATTAGAAGCCCAGTGCTAGATATCTTGTATTTTGTGATTAAATAAGTAAAATTTGGCAATGACAGGTTTCTAAAATGCTTAAAATTGGTGTTAAAAAGCAACCTATTTTGCAAACAAATCAGTGAATACAATATAGTATCTAAGCTAGATGACAAGAAATACCTGCTTCTGATGCAGACTGTGTTATATTGTACGGCATGGTTCAGTGCATAGTCAATGGTGATTGTGCAGCTAGAGAGTATCCTCTTACTCTAACTCCTAATTCTAGATTCCAAAGCAATTTTGTGAATAAAGGCGTAGAAAAGTATCGTCTTATTATAGCTGATGTCATTTAGTGATAAACACCCAAAACTTGATTCGTTATCCTAATGCATAAATGTGATCTAAATCCTACTAACAAACCCTAACCTTTCTCCATTATAGCTGGTTTCGGTTTGTGACTAAAACTTTATAGGTTTATGATTCAGACTTACAACACTATCCCCGTTCCAAATTTGTAAACTCGATCTTTTTCCTTTACGCTAATCAATAAGTTAACATATAAAGGCTTATTTATCATATCAAAACCACTGTTTCACAGTAATCTTATTGGCGTTTATTGTTAATTGCCATAAAACTAGGCAGTATCGCCTGGTTGACTGGTAAGTTGGTATAGTGTGTTTTTATTAAATGCTTACGGAAGGATTACATCAAAAGAGGACGGGGGTGAGAGACCAAGTAAAATATCGAATATTTATAGCTAGTTAACTAGACATGTGAAAAAAGGTAATGGCTTATAGTATTCTTAACACTTCTGGACATCCTCTTAAACACCTACTCAAACTTAGTTCGAATACTAACCTAAGGGGTAACACCCAGAAACTGGAAACTCAACATAGCAAGACGGGATGTAGACACAACTTCTACTCCTTAAGAGTTGTCAAAAGCTGGAATTCGCTGCCGACCGAGCTAGTCCAGGCGACTTCTCAGGAGTCCTTCAAGAGGCAACTTGACCTATTCTTAAGGACCAAGAACAGTATCATATTATGATTTACCAATTTCTTTTCCTCTTTTATTGTTAACATACCTAGGTTCCTACCTGGAGGATTTGGTGATCCCTTGCTACTAGACACGGAAGCCTGTTAAGCGAAAGCTTCTTCTATTCCATCCACAACCATTTTGGATATAAACTGGGTTAGTCTGTATGACATAAAGCTTATTCACGAAAAGTACGGTGAAGCTATAATTTATGGACAACCTTTGAGCGACGCTAAAGAGACCTTGAGAATGTCCACCTACATACTACGGTTAACTGAGGGTTATAAACCAGCGTGAGGAGTTAGGATTAATATATACAGTTGATGGTTAAGGTTATGAATCAGATATAGAGTTCCCATCACGAACCGACATCAGCTATAATGCCAAAACTCTATCTAACCAAACAGATGAGTGAATTTTGCGCCAAAACCTGTTATCGATCTGCTTGGTTCGTCCATAAATTATAGTCTCGCCGTGTTTCGCCTTACACAAGCAGACATTGAGTTTTGGGGATCACCTCAAGACGGGCTAACTAATCATAGCTGTATTAAAGCTTTAGTGGGAATATTTATTTTCATTGGGAGAATGGACTCTCAATCTATAACAGCTATATAGTATGGTTATGATAGTCTTATAGTTTAAACCAAATAATTATTTGGTCGAAAACTATGCTTTTTGAACCTATGTAGTATGTATAGCTTACACATGTAACACCAACATTGCAGATGTAAGAATAAACAAGTTTAACGTCAAACACTACCAATATTTATTGAATGATATCGAGCGTAAAGTGAAAAGGTTTGTAACCATTTACAAGGGAAGCTTGTCAAGAAAGCGTGAGGATGTAACATTTGAACCGTAATTAAATGGACATACCTTCGTCCATAAGCGTCCGCCCATCAGATTTCATGGCTTGCTTTTTTGGTAGGGTACCCATGAAATATGTAGTTCTAAAACGTCGGCAAACAAGGGGGATGTGTGCACGATTTTAGAAATAGCCTGAGTGCGGAAATGAGCAGAGAACTAAATAGCGAAGTCCTCTAAGACATGTACCAAAAAAGTATTGAAAACGAATTCAAGCTCTTCTTATCATTTCTTAAAAAGACTCGATGATCAGAGATGCTGAGAACATGTAGCGCAATCATCAATCATACCGCCCTTGAGATTGTTTCAAGGAAATTCCAATAATTTTCATGTGGCGATTTTATTGAATTAAGCGTTGAAAATAACGATAGGAAAAACGAAATGTAGATAGAAGATTGACAATGATCAAACACTTATGTTGATATCCATGGTAAACCCAAGAGTTCCGGAATTGCATGGGTAGCTGCCCTCTGTACTATGTCCAAGGTATCAGGGTCAATTTGTAAACAGAGACATGCAGCCCGAAAATGGTTTTCAAGTTCGAATCTCACTTAGGTCGTATATATTGCACTGAACATGGTAGTCTATGAATGTTCGTCTTAAAGCCCATAGGGTTCTATTCCCCTTAGCTGCAACCTCTCGGCAGTGGGTCGTGGTTTTCGTATCATGATTCACCGTCACACGACGAGCCTTGTGATACCGGACCACGCGTACAGTTACTTCTCCTATTCTGTATCCTTAAAGTACACTTTGTCACGATGAAACGCATTAGCGGCTCTTTAGACCGGCTAATCACAATATTCAAATCTGTATGCTGTGCGCAGACATCTGCATCTCCTTCTATTTCCCACAAGATTTTTATATTCGGAGATTGACAACACATTATTCAGCAACATCTATAACTGAAACGTCCCAACCCAGTGAAATCAGAAGTCAGGAGCAAAGATATATTTGATACTTAATTGCTTACTTACGCTTACTTACGCCCAATGGAGCATAGGCCGCCGACCAGCATTCTCCAACCCACTTTGTCCTGGGCCTCCTTTTCTAATTCCATCCAGTTCTTGTTCATCTTTTTCATGTCTATTTTCATTCCTCGGCGTAATGTGTTCTTTGGTCTTCCTCCCCTCATTCGGCCTTGAAGATTCCGAGTGAGTGCTTGTCTTGTGACGCAGTTGGGTGCTTTCCTCAATGTGTGTCCTATCCACTTCCAGCACTTCTTCCTGATTTCTTCCTCTGGAATCTGGTTTGTTCTCTCCCATAGCACGTTGTTGCTAATAGTTTCCGGCCAACGGATCTGAAGTATTTTGCGTAGACAACTGTTAATAAACACCTGTATCTTCTGGACGATGGTTTTCGTAGTTCTCCAGGTTTCCGCCCATACAGTAGAACTGTCTTGACATTTGTATTGAAAATTCTGACTTTGGTGTTGGTTGACAGTTGTTTTGAGTTCCAAATGTTCTTCAGTTGTAAGTATGCTATTCCTGCTTTGCCGATTCTTGCCTTCACTTCCGCGTCAGATCCACCTGTTCATCAATGATGCTGCCCAGATATGTAAAGGTTTTTACATCTTCCAAATCTTCTCCGTCAATTGTGATTGGATTGGTGCATGCTGTGTTGTATCGGAGAACCTTGCTCTTCTCTTTGTGTATATTGAGACCTACTGCTGCTGAGGCTGCTGCTACACTGGTTGTCTTCCGAAATTGTTGTTGCGTGTGCTATAAAAGAGCTAGATCACCTGTGAAGTCTAGATCGTCCAACTGCATCCTAGATGTCCATTGTATCCCGTGCTTCCCTTCAGATGTTGACGTCTTCATGAACCAGTTGATCACCAGGAGAAAGAGATATATCGAGAAGTGACTGATCTAAGCTGGCTAATGTTTGTAAGAGAGGTGGAGTACAGCGTAACCACTCGTGATCCGGTGTGGAAGCGTGGACGAACACATTCAGTTCGGTAAATCCGTTATATTCAATACGTCAGCATCAAATTTCGAAGACTTATAGAGCTATTGATTTGGGGGATTTATTTACAGCTACACCTGCTTGTAAACTGTGGGTCTATTTTTTTCAGGATTTTACATATCATTTCTTTACTTCACTTTATACATTGTGATATATTTTCAGATTCTTGGATGTTTATCCTCCCCTCGTTCATTCCTTCAGAATTTCTCTCGAGATGGTTGCTAGACACCGAACCCAGGTGTAGCACTTTCCGTAGGGAACCCCTAGCTATGTATTGTGCTGCACGGCATTTTCAAAACTATCGAAGATCGAGAATTCACCCTTTTTACTGATCATGAACCTCTTACCTTTTTTAAGCTCCTCTTCGGACAAGTACTCATCACGTGAGTCTCGAAAACTGGACTATATATCTCACAGTTTAATTCAGATATCAAACACGTTTCTGGAGGAGACAATGTAGTCGCAGACGCCTTGTCTCGCATGACTTTCTTGAACAGTTTCCAAGGAATCGACTTTCTTGAACTCGCCCAGCTTCAAGAAAGACACTGGTCTTCAGATGGAGTTATTGCCAACAACCCTGAAACTATGCATTAGGCAGATGGGGACAGATAAGGTTCGTCCAGTTGTGCCGAAACATTATCGACGCAACGTCCTCAATGCGTTGCGCAAACATTTTCATCCAGATGTTCGTGCAACCATCAGGCTCACAGCAGAACAATTTTGTTGGCCTGGTGTGAATATAGACGTGAGGGAGTGAGCACATTTCTGTGTATTCTGCCAGAAATCTCAGGTGATTAGACACGAAAATGGCCATTAGGCTCTTTCACAACTCCTGATGCTCATTTGGTAGGATCCTTACCAAATTCAAATTGATACTTGTGTAGACCATTTCACTCGATGGCCAGAAGCAGTTCGCACAAAGGACATTACTACTGAAACAGTGGACCACGCTTTAGTTGAACGGTGGGTAGCGAACTTCGGCTACCCTTCAAATATCACTATAGACAGTAGATGTCAGTTTGAATCTAATCTTTTCCTTTGACCAACTATACTATTAGGAATTACACGATTACGAACAACCGACTACCACCCACAAGCAAACGGGTTGGTAAATAGCTTTTACCGACAGCTTACAGCCTCACTCTCAGCTACAAACATTTCACAGTGGACTGACGCTCCACCACTCGTTTTAACCGGTATTCGCAATGCAACGAATGCTAACATGGGATATACTGCAGTTCAAGTCGTTTACGGAACGACACTACAGCTTCCAGGTGAATTCGTGGATTCTTCATCTTCTTGAATGAATATAAGTCTAAGCTCTGATACGACCAGGCTACAAATGCCATACTCTCACTTAAACCCATTTTTCACAGACCATCATCAACTGATGTTGTTATTTAAACTGTCCTACCACGTCTTTGTATGTCTCAATTCGCTTCGACGTCCTCTCGATGTGGCACACGAAGAAACACAAAAAGTTCTTCAGAGTGAACGTAAGTACTACATAGTCAACAAGAACAGAACTGAGGATATCATCAGCACTGATCGCCTCAAAGCATTGAGCACAGCCAACCAATACCTTATTATTAATGGTACGGCACCATACAATAGCGAAATGAAATGGTAATGACAAATTTTAACTGGAGTCAAATAATGAGATTGGAAGCCTTTTCCCCGCAAAACTTTTTAACCCTATTTACAACTAGTACTTTTATAATTTTGTGCTGATATCGGGTCCAGTGAATAAAAGTACCCTAGAGACAAGCCTTCAGGAAACGAAGTAAAATATACTAAGCCATATAGAATGGTTTGATCGAGTCTAAGTGTTACTTCAAAGAAAAACAACAATAACTTTAAAAAGTCGCTTAAAACCTAATAGTAGTAACGCTAGTCAAGTTGTGACATGAAATACCTAAAACTAACTTCACAATACGAAACTTTCCCCAATGTTTGTGAACCATTATACACCTAGTCACCGTATCCCGCTAGAGGGAATTGCTCATGATAGTAACTACATTTCTTTTTAAGGAATGATACTTAATCCACGGTCTATCAAAGCAAATACTTCTTAGTAGTTATATATGAACTTTTAAGAGAAGTCATTTTGAACGAATGGAGTTTGGAGATTGTGGAGCTTACATAGGCGTGTGCTGGTTTTCTGGGTATTTTGGTTTTTTCCTTGTTCCATACTTGCAGAGTGCAAACAAACAGCTTGCTTAGCTCGATCAGTTACCTAATCCAGTACAGGGTTAAGATGACGTAAGCTGCTCAACTTATGAAACAGTACGTTGGAGCTGGACCTTCCTTGAGCCACTAGCTGAAATTACTTTTAAACGATTACCTAATTACCGTTCTACAACAGTGTTATGGAAAGAACTGAATATATTTAACAGAATAAAACTGTTATTTTGAATAATAAACACACTCTTTTAGATGTATTTCCTTTGATCAATCTTTGACCTTGTCTGTCTATATTTTCGGCATGAACATATTGGTTTCAGTTTGTTTTTTGGTTTGGCATTTTGAAAGTTTTCGTTCCGAAAACCCAAAGATTGATAAACGATATATTTGTGTTGATTACTTGTAATTTACGAATAAACTTTGGTATTTGAGTTTGAATTGGTTCACTATTTAGTCCGGTTGTAGGTTACGAGTGAATCAATCGACCATGCTTCAATAATGGACGAGAACAAAATTTGGACGAAACACAGTGCGGTTTAAAGAATGAACTATATGACCATATTTCGATAAGAACAGAAACGAATAAAATTGGAAATGCAGAGTTACTTTGCATAATATTCTAACTTCATTCAGCTGGTCATTACTATTTACAAAAAGACATACTTTCATTAACACATACACTGAATCCTCACAAAGACGATAAACACGCACTTTCTGAGTATGATAAAACCAACCCAACTGAGTTAAAAGTACAGGTAATCTCGTTCTCCCACAGAAGTTAGATAGCACTAGACAACCAAAGCTGCCGATGCAATAGACTCATTTATTACCCGGAAGAAACTTTTGAACATCAGGATGAATTCAAACAAACCTTCCCTTCATACTTACTTGAACGAAAACAGCAATTGTTATGGGGAGGAGAAATATTGAGACACCTGTAATTTTAAGAACCATCTTATGGAAAATTATCACATGTATTTCTATTGTATAACTAATAGACATGTTAGCTATTGTATCCTTCGTCTACGTTTCACGCTGCTTCAGTTGTCGTCGACACTTTACGAATATATCAATTGAGCTCTCCTCTATTCATGGTCTTATTCTGTATACATTGCGAGTTCCTATCCATATGGATGTCAGATAATTGGATTACT